TACATACACATACACACACACACACACACACACACATTTACATACATATATAAAACTATATATATATATATATATATATATATATATATACACACACACACACACACATATATATATATATATATATATATATATATATATATATACACACACACACACACACACACACACACACACACACACACATATACATATATATATATATATATATATATATATATATATATATATATATATATATATATATATATATATATATATATATATATATATATATGTGTGGGGGTGTGTGGGGGTGTGAGTGAGCGAGTGTGTGTGGGGCGAGTGTGTGACAAGAGAGGTGGGGGCGCCCACACATTCACCCTCCAAATAAAAAACTATGGTAATTTACTAAAAAATTTCTAGATACACAAAATACTACAGTGTTGTTTTTATTTAAACGATTCTAACACAACGACTACAGGAATATATACCTCACAAAGTTCAGTATTTCAGTGTAACTATACAAATGCAGCTAATGGTGTGTCAACTTTAACCCACGGACTAAAAAATCAAGTTCTAGAAAGTTAAAGGCCTCTTGAAGTGCTTTGAAATGTGCATTTTTTTATTTAATGATTGACATAATCTCAATTGAAACATGAAGACAGGACAGGACTTATAGTAACCCCTCCCCTTTTTAAAGAACAGCCAATAGGATTTCATTTTATCATAGCTCTTTGTTAAATAAAAGCTGGTTTATACTTTTGCATCGAGTGATCGGCGTGACCCGCCGATTTTTTTCTTCTGTGTGCTGTTTGTGTTGCTCTGCAATAACACTTCCGAAACACTAGCTGGCAGCAGGTGTTTATGTTCCTCTGTCGACTTTCTTCACGGGTGTTTTGTTTTTACTGATGGCTACCATAATGTGCAAGTGGCTCAAACTCGCTTATTTTGAGGCGGAAGCCGGGCCACGTACAGCAACTTTAATCATAAGATAAACACAAAACAAAACTTTTCATCTGGAGCTCCTTCCCGGCACTCAACACTTTAGTTACTTTTGAAAGTTATGCAATACAAAATTGAGCTACTCCCCACATAAGTAGCTAGTTACGTAACTTAGTAACTTTTTATGACAAAAAAAATGTGTCACGTTACTTTTGAGATACATTTGCATAGCTTTTTTTGACCTGGGGTCCGTTTCCCAAACGACAACGTAACTCGCGGCTTAACAATAATAGTACGATGCATCGTTTGGGAAAAGAATGATGTATTGATAAGTGTTTGCCAAAATCTGTAGTTTCTCTGTCGCAGACCCAACGTTTGAACCACGTTAGTTATAACGTAAAACGCCCATGATGATGCTCTAAACGAGGTGGAGTAACAACTTAATAGGTCACCTATATAGCTTTCGTTATGAGCCACGGCTGTGTTCAAAATGACATCAATGTTTTCAAAGTGCGCTGCGAAGAGTGTAATAGTAAACATGAAGATCGCTAAAACTGAACTGTAAAAATACTTTCGAAGCAAATTACACCCTGACTTTAATGTTGTTTTTTAATCATAACGTGTTTAAATGTTAGAATGTTCTAAATGAATAGGCGGATAACTGCGAAAAGAACACAGCCAGGAACTATGCTTCTAACTACAGCTCCAGAGGTGTAGTTGCAAGCCTACAAGTTTGAGATGCAGTTTGCGAATGTTTGTTGAAAAGACGGATTTGGGAAACGCCTAATTAACAAACTATGTAACAATAGAACTTGCAACCTTAGTTGGCTAACGATGGTTTTCGGAAACGCACCCCTGGCTGAGGCTTTTTTTTTCTGATTCTTTTTTTAAAATAGAAGAGCTCTTTAATTACCAACCATGTAGTCTACACCGTTATATACCTTAAAAAAAACAAATTAAAAATGACAATGTAGGATAATTGTATCTTCGGAGATCTTTCTGACCCTCGAAATAAAAGTTTTGTGCTACTCTTGTACATTCTGTCTTGTTAGTTCAGTAAAATCACTGTCTACTGAGATTATAATCCATTTTCCCTTTCTTGATCCATTCAGAAAAATGGTAAAACTTCCGTCGCAGAAATGTAAGGCTCTGCCGTCTTCCTTTCGGTCCGTTCCTGCATTCTCTCATTGTGTGTGGGATTTAGTGCGACTTTGTTCTTTGTATTTCAGATATTTATTTCTCGATCTATTTCTCGCATTACATAAAAAAACTTGCATATCATTACTTATTTTTTACGTGTTACTTTACTCCTTAGTTAGAAAAGTAATATTATTACGTATTCGCGTTACTTGTAATGCATTACCCCAAATACTGATAATAATACCACAAACAAGAACAGAATTTTCGGAGACAAATGTTAACAGGTATTGGTAACATTTCTAATTTGGACTGTAAAGTAGTAATAATGTTCACCTTTTTGTAAAAAAAAAAAAAAGTTCTGTAAACAACTGTGTAGAAACAGTACCCTACTGAAAAAAACAGCTTGATCCAGCCTAAGCTGGTCAGGCTGGTTTTAGATGGTCACCCAAGCTGGTTTTAGCTTGTTTCCCAGGCTGGTCATGGCTGGTTTATCAGGCTGGTTTTAGAGGGGTTTTGGCCACTTTTTAGCTGGTCTTAATTGGTCAGGTTGGTCTTAGCTGGTTTGAACTGGTCAAGCAGGTCTTAGCTGGTTTTAATTGGTCAAGCTGGTTTTAGCTGGTCAGGCTGGTTTTAGAGGGGTTTTGGCCATTTTTAGCCGGTCTTAATTGATCAGGTTGGTCTTAGCTGGTTGTAGCTAGTTTTAAATGGTCGACTAGTTTTAGAGGGGTTTAGCCACTTTTTAGCTGGTCTTAGCTGATCAGGTTGGTCTTAGCTAGTTTTAGCTGGTCTTAGCTGGTTTTAGAGGGGTTTTGGACACTTTTTAGTTGGTCGGGTTGGTCTTAGCTAGTCTTAGCTGGTTTTAGTGGGTCAGGCTGGTGATTTTAGAGGGGTTTTGGTCACTTTTTAGCCGGTCTTAGTTGATCAGGCTGGTTTTAGCTTGTCAGGCTGGTCTTAGCTGGCTGGCCTTAACTGGTTTTAGCTGGTCAGGCTGATTTTAGCTGGTCAGGCTGGGAGACCAGCTAAAACCAACTTGACCAGGCAGGGAGACCAGCTAAAACTAGCCTGGCCAGGCTGAGAGACCAGCTAAAACCAGCTTGGCCAGGCTGAGAGACCAGCTTAAACCAGCCTAGTCAGATTGAGAGACCAGCTTGACCAGGATGGGTGACCAGCTAAAACCAGCCAGGCCAGCCAGGCCAGACTGGGAGACCAGCGAAAACCAGCTAAAACCAGCCTGGTCAGACTGAGATACCAGCTTGACCGGTCTGGCCAGGTTGGGAAACCAGCTAAAACCTGCTTGACCAGGTTGGGAGACCAGCTAAAACCATCCTAGTCAGATTGAGAGACCAGTTTGACCAGGATGGGAGACCAGCTAAAACCAGCTTGACCAGGCTGAGAGACCAGCTAAAACCAGCCTGGTCAGACTGACATACCAGCTTGACCAGCCTGGCCAGGTTGGAAGACCAGCTAAAACCAGCTTGACCAGGCTGGGAGACCAGCTAAAACCAGCTACTTCCAGCTAAAACCAGCTAAGACAAGCCAACCAGCTTAGGCTGGTTTTAGCTGTTTTTTTTGAGCAGGGTAATTATACTGAGTACTTATTAAATTAACCATTCATTTATATTTCATTAACATGATCCCTACCCCGACTCTAAACCTAACCCTCATAGCAGTGTAAAAACGGTAATCCTATCGAGTGTTTTTCATTAAATTACCAATGAAATTGTATTTTATTTACCCCTACCCTCACTCCAACCCTAAAGCTTCCCCTTACAGTAGTAGGACTGCCAAATACCTAGTATTATTCATAATAGTTATTAAATTACTCATCAAATTGCGTTACTAAACCCAATCCGTCACAGTAATGTGAAAAATAATTATTATTATTGTACTGTGTCACAAAAAAAAATATGATAGTATCCGCAGCTGTATCCTTTCAACAATTATTAAATATTTTCGGCGGGAATACCGCGGACTTGGCAACCCTGCGTGAAGCGGGAGAAATCAGTGCAGTGTGTGGCTCTATGTTTTGTACAGTCTGTGCTGTGGCTCCTCCCCGTCACGTTGCAGCTCAACGTGACTGATGTTCCCAAGCTGAACGTGAAGCCAGCAAAACACCGAATGTGTGTCAAGCGCGGGGGCTGCGGGGGATTTGACCTACTTTACACGCGGAGACACCATACACTCACTTCCCCACGTTACTTTACGATCCCGAGAGCTCACCAGTGTAGTAAATAGATGGTCCGACATGTTGCTGTGCTGTAAATGTGAGCGTTAATGCTGATATTCGACTGTAGTGTTAGCGCTGCGCGGGTCACGTGACTGGGGGCTGTCCTGCCATCATAACAAACATCTTCAGTGGATCAGTTTATTATTAGCTCGAGCTCTGCTGCATTTCGCATCTATTATCGACCATTGGTCCGTGTGGACTTGATTTCTCTCATCAAGCCTTGCTTGTACTCGAATGGTGAGTTAATCATTATTTTTCATCTTTGTTATTGTTGACGTTGACAGTTTCTAGGGCTGCAGGATATGTCTGACAGTGCGATATTTAACGTTATAATCGCAATATAATTATTTCAACCGATGACAAGAATAGCTCTATTATGAAGAAATTAATCATTTTAGATCGATTTTGGGGACATTTTGTGCATTAATCATTCATTAAATATAATACACAAATCGTAAGCATAGATATAAATACTGAATACATAGATATAAATACTAAATACATAAATATAAATTTACTGAAATTAGAGTTTTATGGGTTTTGGGGAAGTCAAATAATATTAATCAGCTACAGACATTGAATAAAAAAAAGTGTAAAATAACACTATAATAATTCAATAAAATTTGTCATTAAGTTGCAAAAATGATTTTCTATCTATCTATCTATCTATCTATCTATCTATCTATCTATCTATCTATCTATCTATCTATCTATCTATCTATCTATCTATCTATCTATCTATCTATCTATCTATCTATCTATGTGATTTGGGGTGCATGTGCTTTGGTAATAACCTGTGAAGAGATATGGAGTGAGAGAACGGTATGTTCAGTACGTGTCAGTCATCTCTATGTGTGTGTGTGTGTGTGTGTGTGTGTGCGCGCGCGCACGCCACTTTTACGCTCGACGTAAACAAGTCTCCGTTCACATTTATTTTCCCCTCTATCGTATAATACTCGAATTAAATTAAAAGTGAGCGATTTTGTTCATGATGAACCTTAAAAATCCACAAATAAATAAGAGTCCAGATTTAGCGACTTTTGTTTTGGGGGAAAACAAAGTCAAACATTTAAGACTTTTGCATTTGAATCATAAGAAAATTTTATATAAAAATAATAAATAACTTAAATATATAGACCCGAATAATACATTTATATAATCTTGCTGTTGTAAACAGCACCCTTTAAAGTTGGACAATAATACATTTTTTGTCATTGGCTTGTATACACATAGTGACCCCCAAAATAATAAGACACAATACAGTTGAAGTCAGGATTATTAGCCCCGGTTTAATTTATTTTTTGCCCAGTTCCTGTTTAACTGAGAGAATATTTTCAACACATTTCTAATCATAATAGTTTTAATAACTCATCTCTGATAACTGATTTATCTTTGTCATGATGACAGTAAATAATATTAGACTTGATATTCTTCAAGACACTTCTACACAGCTTAAAGCGACATTTAAAGGCTTAACTAGGTTAATTGGGTTAACTAGGCAGCTTAAGGTAATTAGGCAAGTTATTCTATAATGATGGTTTGTTTTGTAGAATATTGAGAAATGTATAACTTTAAGGGGCTAAAAATATTGACCTTAAAATGGTGTTTAAAATATTAAAAACTGCTTTTATTCTAGCTGAAATAAATTAAATAAGACTTTCTCCAGAAGAACAAATATTATCAGACACACTGTGAACATTTCCTGAATCTGTTTAACATCATTTGGGAAATATTTAAACAAGATAATTCAAAGGGGGTCGAATAATTCTGACTTCAACTGTAAGTCACTATGAAAACGTATGAATGTGTTTGCATTAAGATGCTACTGGACTACGTTTTGTACATAGGTTAGAATTAGTTACTCCCTCCAGTGGCAGCTTTTGTAGCTTTATTTCTGAATCCACTGAGGAGCAACTTTTCAAAAGACACAACTTTTTACCTGAAGAGTACGGATTTGCTGCCTCAAAGGTCCATATTTGTGCATAAAACGTTCAACTTTTGTACTTTTTAGGTGCCTTTTTAAGAAACCAATATGAATCCTTTATGTATAAATGTGTAGCCTTTAAAAAGCCACCACTCCAGAGACAGACTTCTAAGAGTGTGTGATGGAAGTTAGGCATGGGCCGGTATAAGATTCTGACGGTATGATAACCTTGGATGAAAATATCATGGGCTGCGACCGAAACCACCTACAACTCAGTAGGTACTTTATTTGAATTTAACCGTACTACTCGGTTGTTAGAAAAGTACGCTCTATACAGTATGAATGTGAAAAGTATGAATGGGATTCGGATGTACTACATCCTCCATTTTGTCATGGTTACGTTACCTACCTGCGTCAATTGCGTCGCTTTACTCCCACTCATGAATTCGCTCGCGGGGCATCATGGGATAGCGCAGCATGCATGCGATGCGCACTCGACATACAATCCTGACATACTGATTTTCGAATTCTATGAATTCAGACATACTGAATTCTGCGTCCGAAGCCGCATACTTCCATACTATATAGTACGCCAAAATCAGTATGCGAGCAGAGTAGTATGTGCGAATTCATAGAATTTGAAAATCAGTATGCGAGAAGAACCCGGATGACTTGCTACTTCCGGCGAGATTCTGAAGTGCGCATCCCATGCATGCTGCGCTATCCCATGATGCCCCGCGAGAGAATTCATGAATGGGAGTGAAGCGACGCAAATTACGCAGGTAGATCGCATGACCATAACAAAATGGCGGATGTAGTACGTCCGAATTCCATTCATACTTTCACATTCATACTGTATATAACGTACTTTTCTAACGGCCGAGTACGTTTAAATTCAAATACAGTACCTACTGAGTAGTAGGCGGTTTCGGACGCAGCCAAGAACTTTTTACCCATTTAACACAATATACTTTACTTTGAAAAGCATTTAAAGTATTCTGGAGCAGTAAACATGTCAGGCTAAATAATTAAAACGAATCGCTGACTTCTGCTGTCGTCGTTTATTTCAGAAACACTGACTTCTTTACGATTTAAAATGGCAATTTTTTTCTGTTGGAGATACTGTTAAAAAAATAAGTAAATTAAAAAAATCGTACTCATACCTCAGGAACAGACTAGGAAAATGTTGACGTTTTTAAATCCTTGACTTTTCCAAACTGCGGCATACCATGAAAGCGGTTATCATCCCATGCCTAGATGAAGTAATGATGGGAGAAGTTGAGCCTTTCAAAGCCTCAAAACACCTCGTAATAGAGACACCTGGTGGCCAAAACCATGTACACTTTATTAGGTACAGCTGTCCGACTGCTTGTTAATGCTAAATACTAATCAGCCAATCACATGGCAGCAACTCAGCGCATTTAGGCATGTAGGCATGGTCAAGACGATCCGCTGCAGTTCAAACCGTGCATCAGAATGGGGAAGAAAGGGGATTAAAGTGACTTTGAACGTGGCATGGTTGTTGGTGCCAGACGGGCTGGTCTGAGTATTTCAGAAACTGCTGATCTACTGGGATTTTCACGCACAACCATCTCTAGGGTTTACAGAGAATGCTCTGAAAAAGAGGAAATATCTAGTGAGCGGCAGTTCTGTGAAACCAGTTGTTCGATTCTCTTCGTTCCCACAGGAACATGTCTGTGGTGCGGGCTGCATGTGATCATGGGCTGTTGAAGAGGCAGGAGGAGGACATTAAGCCCCAGACGGCGGTGATTCGGCGTAACCTGTTTGGTCCCGTGGACCACCAGCAGCTGCAGCAGGACTTCCAGAGGCTCTTCTGCATGAACGTAGAGACCGCCAAACAACGCTGGAACTTCGACTTTCAGAGGGACCAGCCTGTCCCGGGACGAGTCGAGTGGGAAGAGCTGCGCTGCCAGGACGTCCCGGCCTTCTACCGCAGCAGTGTGGTCAGGCCCAGTGTGATGAAGCAGATGCTGGATAGAGAATCCTTTGCTCGCTCCTCTGCAGCGACGGCCACGGAGAAATTTCTGGAGCTGCGAAGAAGCTGTGCCGGTTTTAGAGGAACCAAGCCTGAGAAGAGAATGGCTGCCGTTTTGGGGGTCAAACGCAGACAAGCAAACATCACAGGTGAGGCTGTGGTCAGGGCAGAACTCCATCGTCATACTGTTTAAATTAGATTCATCAATACGAACATGAGTAGTTATGAGTAAATTTGTTGTTTTAATGAAATAAAATGTCGTTGTGAGAAGAGATGTTGTTTTAACAAACCATCTCGTTATTATGAGAGAAGTTGTTATAACAAAATAACGTCTCGTTATTATAAAAAAGTTGTCATTATAATAAACCAGCATCTAATTTTTATGAGAAAAGTTGTCATTATAATGAAATAACATCTTGTTATTATAAAAAAAATTGTCTTAACGAAATAACATCTCGTTATTAAGCGAAACGTTGTCATTATAATGAAATAGCATCTCGTTTTTATAAGACAAGTTGTCATTATCACGAAATATCACAAGTTGTTGTCGTTATGTACTTTTTATTAGAAGAGTTGTCGTTATAGCAAAATAACATCTTGTTATTATGAGAAAAGTTGTCGTTATAATGAAATAACATCCTGTTATTATAAAAAAGTAGTTATTATAATGAAATAGCATCTCGTTTTTATAAGAAAAGTTGTCGTTATAACGAAATAACATCTTGTTATTATGAGAAAAGTTGTCATTATAATGAAATAACATCTCATTTTAATAAAAAAAGTAATTATAACAAAATAGCATCTCGTTTTTATAAGAAAAGTTGTCATTATAACGAAATTTCACGACAAGTTGTCGTTATGTACTTTTTATTAGAAGAGTTGTCGTATAGCAAAATAACATCTTGTTATTATGAGAAAAGTTGTCGTTATAATGAAATAACATCCTGGTATTATAAAGAAAGTAGTTATTATAATGAAATAGCATCTCGTTTTTATAAGAAAAAGTTGTCGTTATAATGAAATAACATCTTGTTATTATGAGAAAAGTTGTCGTTATAATGAAATAACATCTCATTATTATAAAAAAAGTAATATTAACAAAATAGCATCTCGTTTTTATAAGAAAAGTTGTCATTATCACGAAATATCACGACAAGTTGTCGTTATGTACTTTTTATTAGAAGAGTTGTCGTATAGCAAAATAACATCTTGTTATTATGAGAAAAGTTGTCGTTATAATGAAATAACATCCTGGTATTATAAAGAAAGTAGTTATTATAATGAAATAGCATCTCGTTTTTATAAGAAAAAGTTGTCGTTATAATGAAATAACATCTTGTTATTATGAGAAAAGTTGTCGTTATAATGAAATAACATCTCATTATTATAAAAAAAGTAATATTAACAAAATAGCATCTCGTTTTTATAAGAAAAGTTGTCATTATCACGAAATATCACGACAAGTTGTCGTTATGTACTTTTTATTAGAAGAGTTGTCGTATAGCAAAATAACATCTTGTTATTATGAGAAAAGTTGTCGTTATAATGAAATAACATCCTGGTATTATAAAGAAAGTAGTTATTATAATGAAATAGCATCTCGTTTTTATAAGAAAAGTTGTCATTATAACGAAATAACATCTCGTTATTATGAGAAAAGTTGTCGTTACAATGAAATGTTTTATTATAAAAATTGTCATAACGAAATAACATCTTGTTATTATGAGAAAAGTTGTCGTTATAATAAAATAACAACTAGTTATTATAAAAAAGTTGTAATTATAATGAAATAGCATCTCGTTTTTATTATAATAGTTGTCACTATAACGAAATAACATCTTGTTATTATGAGAAAGTTGTATTTATAATGAAATAACATCTTGTTATTATATGAAAAATTGTCGTTATAATGAAATTACGTCTCATTATTATGAGAAAAGTTGTCGTTATAACGAAATAACATCTTGTTATTATGAGAAAAGTTGTCATAACGTAATAACATCTCGTTATTATGAGAAACGTTCTCATAATGAAATAGCATCTCGTTTTTATTAGAAAAGTTGCCGTTATAACGAAATGACATTTCATAATTATAAGAAACGTCCCTGACAAAATAACATCTCGTTATTATGAGTAAAGGTGTTGTTTTAACGACATAACATCGTTAGTACTATTTAATGTTTAATTTTACTATTTAATTTTGTTTTAACAAAATAGCATCGTTACTATTAGAAAATATGTTAATGAAATAACATTGTTAGTACAAGTAAATAAGTTGTTTTAACAAAATAACTTTGTTAGTACAAATACATCGTTTTAATGAAATAAAATCGTTATTACGAGTAAATGTATCATTTTAAATATATAACATCTTTAGTACGATTAAATATATCGCTTTAACGAAATAACATTGTCAGTACAAGTTGTCGTTTTAAAGAAATAATATCATTAGTACGAGTAAATATGCCGTTTTAACGAAATAACATTGTTAGTGTGAGTAAATGTCGTTTTAACGTAATAACATCGTTAGTATGAGTAAATGTCATTTTCACAAAATAACATCTCGTTATTAGAAGAAAAGATGTAATTTAAAAAAATATATCATTTTTACAGCATAATATTGTAAAGAAAGTCAGTTCCCCTCAGAGATTTACTCATTTAAATTATTACTCCAGTTTTATCAAGATTTTGTTTTAGCATCTCAGCAGATTTGAATAGTTACGTATTTAAATCGATTCAAATATTCACTTCTATACATCAAAAATTAATTATTAACCAATTATTTGTGGAATTCAAGATAATTTAAAAAAATCGAATATGCTTTTCTCTCTTTCAGACTTTTTCAGAGTGACGAAAAGACGGTTTCTTCATCACAAAGCTTCAGGACAGTAAACATCCAGTGGACTTTCCTCTATGTATATATCTGTATATACAATATCTGCACATGTAGCTCTTCATCTGACCAGCAAATGTAAAATAGGATATATTATTACATATATATACACATGTGTGTGTATACGCTTAAACATGCGTGCACATTTACACAGTATATCGCATAATTAGGAGTCTAACAAAGAAAATTCACTGAAATTCCGTTTTATTGTTACACAACGCACGTAGAAAGCATTAGGAATGCACTGTTTTCTGTTGCTGTGCACTGAATATATAGGATATCATGCGCTATAAGACAAATACTGTGAACATATACACAAATGCACTATAAAAGAACGGTTTGCAGCTCATCTGTCCTGTTAAGTAGCACAAGTGCACACGATATACATAAGCTAACAATATCCTCCAGTTATTCTGTCCAACTTTTGGTATTTATTTTTATTGAACACACTTTTTTTGTATTACGAAAAATAAGATGCATTTAACCTGAGCCATAAATGTTATGAAGCGTTTCGCGATATAAGTGACTATGTAAGTCACTAGCAAACATATAGTCTGCTTTGATATATTTTGAAGTTTTATATAGGCTGTATATAAAATTATGTTTGTAAATAACCTTGAAACATTGTTCGAATACGATTTTTATGATTGTAAATGAAAGCGGTGAGTGTTTTATAGTGTACGTTTTCTATCAGTCACTTGTATTTTCATCAATGCTGTATTTTTACTGTGTGCGTATATTTGATATACGTGTTAATTTTGTATTGTTTTTCTAATATTCCCAAAGTGACGTTTCACAGAGATTTTTTCACTGTATTTTTCTATAACGTTTTTCGTTAATAACACAAAAATCTGCTATGGTTATTTTATTTTTGGCTCCAGAACAAACTAGTGTTGTCAAAAGACTAATTAAGCCTTTAAAATGCTGAATATTATGCAGTTACTAGATGCATATTAAGGCAAAAATAAATGAGTTATGAAAACTATTATGTTAGACGTCATTTAGGAAACATTTTTAAAAAATTGTATTAACTAAATTAGATTTATATCTGACATTACTCTCAAAATTACAGAAAATGCTGACAAAATTAACCAAATTAATTGCTTTAAAGTTAATAAATAAGTAAAAGTCCACTGAACTAAGGTTAGGAAGATGAAATCAGACCCAGGCGGGGATACCTTTACCCACAGATTTTCTAAACGTCCGTTAAAAATAGCATTCTACCTCATGAAATGAGAAAGGACCTTTATTTTGTATTTTACGCATATACAAGTTTGTAAAATGTAGCATTTGTCATGTATATGCTGCCTGATCTCACGAGGAAACGTAAGGATTTTAAGTTTTGTCAGTTTAGTGGCTAATTCGTACAAGTTCAGTTGTACGAAAAAATTTTTTAAAAAGAGGCGTGGCACCCAACCCCATCCCTAACCGCAACCGTCATTAGGTGATGAGCAAATCGTACTAAATTATACGAATTAAATTGTACGAATTCATACGAATTCGCCACTATATCAAAAAGTTACGAATCGCCGCGAGATTGCGTTAGTATATGCTAGTTTTTCCCCTCGGAAGTACAGTATATTGGCATGAAAGTAATCTGTGCTTCAGATCTACACAGTATTGTGTGTGTTTGTTCGTCGTTTTGTTTTTTTAAAACTCACGTTTGCCTTATTCTGTGTGTTTTGGGGGAATTAAATATTGTATTTTGCACTACGTGTCATCTTAAAAGATGTGATGGGCCAGCTAATCTCATTTATTGAAGATAATGATAATAATAATAATAATAATATGTGCTGCAGATATGTGACCCTGGAGCTCAAAACCTATACATTGCGCAAATAAAAAATACATTGTATTTGAGGCCAAAAATCCTTCGAATATTAAGCAAAGCTCATGTTTCGTGAAGATATTTAGTGCATTTCTTACTTTAAAGATCTAAAACAAGTCTCTGATGTCCTCACAGTGTCTATGGCTCCGTTTACACTAGTGCGTTTTAGTTTGAAAGCGGCGTTTTAGATCAAAAAACGATCCGCGTCCACACTAGCGTCTCTGAACATATCTCCGTCCACACTACGCCACCAAAAACGTATATCACGTGACCATTCGCGCACTCTGGGCATGCGCGTTCTAGTATAAACAGGAAGCACGTGTCTCGCTCGGCATTTGGTTATTGTTAGTCAACAAACGCCGGTTGAACATTAAACGCGACGGCAAAGAAAGCAAGAGAGGTAATTTTGTGGACAGACGACGAGGTCGAGTTGTTACTGAACGTAACAAATGAATAACTGCGAATAGCGCCTAAAACAGACAATAGGGCAAACAACGCTCCCATTTCTGTGTCCATGTTGTTGTTTACAGTACTGTCTTCCAGTAACGTTAAAGCCATGTGTATAGCATAGTCACGTGATAGGGGCTTGACGAATAAGGGAAGGATACGCAATGACACAAAAGCCCCAATCAGGTATCGAATCTCAGCAGTCCCGCCTCCGTTTTCAGATGTCTCCGTTTTTCAGAATGAAAACAGCCTCTTCAGCGTTTTCAAAACGCTCTGTTTTCGGCGCTCGAGAACTCCAGTGTAGTGTGGACGGATGGCGTAACCTTAGCAAAACGTATGCATTTTAAAATGAAAACGCATTAGTGTAAACAGGGCCTATGTGTGCGTTTTATTACGCAGAAAATGTTTTATAACGGTCTCAAACTGACCCTTTTATAGGCTTTGATCCTAATTGTGCTGCTTTGGTGACTGTCGCTTTAAATGCAAATGAGAGTGAGCTCTTTTTAGAGGAGGGCGGAGCTACAAACACCTGTGTCAGCAATGTCAGAGAGCTTAGAATGACCAAGAGGCGACACTCTGTTGTTGTTTGGGAAACAGCCACTAGATGCCGCTAGTGTCACGGGGCGGCCATTTTGGAATGAAATTTCCAATAGAACAACAGCATATTATAAGTGTGTAAGTTATTAAAAGTGCTGGTGATTGTGATAGTAAGTGTTGTATTGTAGTCTTTCAGGTTGTATCTCAGCTTTAAATGTGCTTTTTAAATAAATTAATTTAAAACAAAGCAGCAGCTGAGATCCAATTACCATCCAATCGCCTTCACTCCAAAATGGCGGAATCGCGGGGATGTTGCTGATGCAATGGAACGTGCTATTGAGTGTCGCCTCTAAGCTCTTTGGCATAGCGGCAGATTCAAAACTCTACTGGCAGACGGCTGCTTCTCACCCAGGGCTGTCTATGCTAATGAGTGGGCGGGGCTTTCCCCTTCTGATGACACGTACAATCAATGTTGTTTCTACCAAATCTGATTATAAATAGAATGAATTAAGTTCTATCAATAGACGCTGGAGATATTCACACACTGCTGCCACACAACTGTGTTTAAACCCCTTCTAAAGGTGATTTTGACACAATAGGTGCCCTTTAAATGTATAAAAAGTAGTCTATTTGTACACGTTTACAGCAACGGTTTAGATTTTTGCTGTTGTATATATCTCAATCTCAAAGAAATGTCCACTTATGACTGGTTTTGTGAACCAGGGTCACATATGTCAGCAGAGTCCGGTCTTAAAAGTGAATTTGTTAACACTTTAACATGGGAACCGGTTGTCACATTTAAATGTTGGTTGTCTATTAGTACTTAAAAAGTATTTTGAATGGCTATATCCTTCTTAACTTCATAACACTTCTAAAATTAACCAGGCTAACTGTACGCAGTAAATGTGGAGTTTATTGAGGCTAGGGTCACAGTTAATAGTTCCCTGAATAAAGTGTTTCCATTCATGGAGTGAACAACACCTTAAGTATGTTGATCTTGTGTCTGTTGTTGTGTGAATGATGTTTGTGTTTGCTTTGTATGCGAAACAGAGTCACATAAAAGGCATGTATAAAGCTATTTCTGAAGTTGGTCTCGTTTTTCGCCCCTCGTAGTGATTGTTATGCACCACAGATGTTTAAAAAGCTTTCATTATGCATATTCATATTGGCTTCTTTTAATAAGATCAGTATATATTATTGTATAGCGATGGTTTGTTCTGTAGACTATCGAAAAAATATATAGCTAATAATATTGACCTTAAAATAGTGTTAAAAAAAAATTTTTAAACTGCTTTTATTCTAGCCGAAATAACAAATCGGACTTTCTCTAGAAGAAAAAATATTATCAGACACACTGTGAACATTTCCTGAATATCTTCAACATCATTTTTGAAATAGTCATAAAGAAAAAAAAGAAAAATCAAAGGCGCGCTAATAATTCTGACTTGTGTAATGATTCAGTCAGCTCATAATAGTTTGCTTCAAAATGACACTGAATACATTTTACAGTAAATCATACACTGAAAGTAGCCTAGATAACACATTCAGTACATTTTGCAGTACATTCATCAGGCTGCTGCTGCGCATTTCTTGGTAAAGCTGAAAAATTACATACAACAAACCCCAAATATTAAAAGTTTCACAAATAAAATGACGGTAACACTTTGTTTTGATGGTCCATTTGTCAGACTCGGGTCCAGTTAATCCCCTCACCAACCGACCAGCAGAGGTCCCGCTCGCCCGGCTACTGAAATCACACAAAACTCCATTACCCACAAGACGCCGCGGTACCTTAATTACCGTCCAACTGACACCCTCCTGTCATTCAGAGCGAAGTCTTTTTTTTTTTTTTTGCTCAGCATTCAATTTCAAGCGTTTCCTACATTCTCTGACTGATTACTGTTGCCGACCCGGACCGATTGTTTACCTGTGGTTCTATGCCGCCAGCCCAGATCCTAGCACGGGTTGTTGTTGAATTGTTTCACGCATCGCCCCATTGGCTGGTTGACGATTTGCTTCAGTGACGTAATGAAACAGTTCATCATAAAGGTGTATTAAATAAACTATTCATTTACAATCCGTGCTTAAACATCCATGTTCAAAACACACACTAATTATATCCATCTAAAACGTAGGAGAGCGTTTTATTTTTATGTTCACCGCAGGTTGTTGATGAATTGTTCAACGCATCGCGACGATTTGTTTCAGTGACGT